TGAGCCAAAGTAGGAAGTCCAGACGAATCTGCTAGAGAGGAGGGCCAGGGGGGACACAGAGACACCAGCCATCTGGGTGAAGACACCCGACACCCAGGCAGCCAGTCAGGTGGACCGACTCCAGCCTCTTGTGCAGCTGTAGAAAGACGTCACCTAAGACCTGCCCCACCAGTCCCACTTAACCCTGGAATAGGAAAAAATATCCTGTTTGATGTCACTAAGTTTTGGGGTGCTCTGACAGCAACAGACACGGGGCTAGAAGAACCTTCCTGTGAGCAGGCTCCTTCTCCACCCTGTGGTCTTGGGACTAATAGGGAAAAGCAGAGAATGACAGGCGCCATGTCAGCAGGATTCATAAGCCGATTCCCCATCCCTCTTTTCCCTCTGGCTCAGCAGCAGCATGTCCTCGCTCCAGGCTGGGCCTTAGATCCATCTGAAGCACAGACCAAGACCAGCACTGACTTAGGCCGAGCTGTGCTACTTCTGAGCCACAGTCAAACACAGTGAGGAGAGAAATTAGCCTTCGCTGCTGAGAGCCACAGATCCAGGTCCTTTTGTTCTGTGGAATACACTGGTGAGAGCTGGCTTCGCCCCCCATCAGTAAAGGATCTCAGCACTCAAGGACTCAGCCCTACACCACGAGAGAAAGTCACTGAGATGGAGGAAAAGAGCAGACTCCTCCACACAGTGGATGCAGAAGTGCAGAGGGCGACCAGCCTTCTGCTGGAGGCCATGCCTGCCTCTTACAGTCTAGCACAGAGGACAGCAAACTTTTTATGTAAAGGGCCAAGGTGTCAGCACTTTAGACTTTCATGCCAAAAGGTAAAACTGAGGACTTTAAATAGCTACTTATATGTTGAGGGCCACAGCCTGAGAATCTGTTCTGTCCCCCTCGAGCACTGAGAGTCACCCAAGCAGCACTGCAAAGGGAATGGAGAAGCACACTGTGGCACCCAGTCGACACAGGAGCCTCTCCTAGGGCACTGCTCCAGCTCGGCTGGAGGACTTGGAATGACAAGGATACCAAGGCCAGACACCACGGTGTAAATTTGGAATCCACCAAGAATTCCAAGGAAACATCATTATACACGTCTCAAGAGATCATCCTGCTGGATTTCAGAACCGGGGGATACTGTTCAAAAAAGTAGCACGATGCTAATAGACACCTCTCTCTTCTTTCATCCAAGGTTTTGGTGGTGACCATATTTCTTTTTGCATATTAGAGTCATTTGTCTTGACAGGTTTTTATTCTTTAACAGTGGAGACTGAGGGATATGAACAGAAAAGACACATTTCGCATAGGAATGTAACCAGTAGAGTATGAGGAATCCCCTTGGCCCAGGAATGATCTGTTCTGATACTGTAATCGGGACAAACCAGATATCTACCACATTCTAGCTCTGGGCTCTGCCTTTATGATGAGGCTACCTTGCCTGGGGGCCTACGAAACCCCTGGTTGGGCCTTCCGTACTGCGCCGTTTCCTGATGTAGCAGTAGGTTGGCTTATTTCTTTCAAGCTCTATGGAAACGGATAATCTCTCTATGGATCAATGTTTTTTGTGATATTATTCTAGACTGGTTTCCTTCATTTCAGAGAGATGGTGACAAAATTCCACCTAACTAAGGCAGTGATCTCACTTCCTCTGCTATGCCATTGAAAATGAAGAAGAAATCAAATCCCCCTTTAATAAGGAAGTATTGAAAGAAATGCAAAGAGTCACTAAAAAGTCTCATCTCCCCCCACTCCTCTTTTTCACCTAATATACATTTAAATGTTTGGCTATGGTCTCTGTTGTGCAGAAATAGCACTTCAAATTGAACAGCTGTGAACCTCCAATGCAAGATTTGTTCTGAAGACATTTATTTAATATCCATAATATATACCAACCTATGACTAAGATAGGGCCCTAGCATAAAGCAGTCAATCTATCAGGAGATGCATTCATACACAAAAAAATACATAAAATAAAAATAAAAAACTATGTTTAATTTGAAAAGATACTAATTACATATACTTTTTTGAGATTATTTCTGATACATTGTGTGTGTACGTGTGTAGGGGGGTGTCTTCGCATGACAGGGAGGAAGAGGGACCCAGACGGGGTACACATACACACACACAGGGTAAAGATAATTTTCTAATGATGATATATACTATCACACATACACACACACACACAGCCATGGTCCCCACCCTCTTGTGCCAGATGGAGACTGCTTGTCGAATAGAGCTGCAAAGATCTCTGCAGTCATCCGAGGTGGCTCTAGGGAACAGCCAAGTAACCTTTAGTGCAGAGCTGCTGTGAGGCCAGGACTCAAGGCAGCAGAAGAGGAGGCATAAACACACTGTTTTATAATTTTCTCAGTGAGAGGGACCATCTGGTGTCCAGCACAGGAGTCCATACACAGTGTTGGACACATGGCAAGTACAGAGAGGTCACCTAGACATCTTGACCAAGTGCATATCTTGGTTCAGTCAATCTGAGGTGGGTTGGGGATTTTACATGCCCCACAAATTCACTTTGTTTATCCAGGTATGGGCAGACTTGGCTGGGGAAAAATAAAACACAGCACATACATCGTCCCCAAGTGACGACACCAAAGGTTGTCAACATGTTGTCAGACACCAGCAACTTAACATCACCTGGAAACTCATTAGAAGTGCTAATCCACAGGTCTCCCCTAAACCTTCAGATCTGAACTCGGGGCCAGGTGCCTGGGAATCTGCACAGTACCAAGTCCAGGTGATTCCCCTGTGCCCGATACTGGACACTGCTGTTCTCAGGAGTTGTGGCAGGAGACTGGCCCTAATGACCACTCCCACTCACTGAAGCTCATTGTCACAGGCTGAGGCAGGTGACTCCCCTAGTCCCAGGACAGTTTTTCCTAACTGCTTCCGACTGGATCCCAGATGGAGCTGCGCCCCAGAGGATCCCCAAATCCACCCCCCAATCAGTTCCAATTCAGAAAGCCTGGAGCACACCTGGGAATCTCTTCCTTTTAACTCACACACGGGCTGGTTTAGAACTCATTGACTCCAAGGCCACTTGCACTTAACAGTGTGGGAGGGCTGACCTCAGCTGGCAGACGTGATGTGTGAGAAATACATCCTCCTTAATACGCCAGATGCCCGAAGCCCGAAGGTGCTGACACCTCAGGGAGGGAGAAAGGCAGATTAAGAGCCTTCCTGAAAAACAGCAGTCCTAACTGGCCCCCTTCATTACAATCCAGGGACATGCCCCCTCCACGCGGAGACACTATAACATCTACTCCTACCTGCAGTCTGAGTTATTCCTATGGAGAGTCCAACTGTTAATTCCAGTGAACTAAGAGATAGATAGTGTGTCTATTGTCTCATTTATAAGCATCATTTAAGTTTTTGAACACAAATATCTGTTTATCGGAAGTACGTATTCTATCAGTTAAACATCGCCATTCCCCTGGGGCTGAGCTTTTTCTGAAGATGTTCTGACAGTCTCTGTTCTCTGGAGAGCTCCAGTAGAGCTCCAATGATGTTCATTTTTTTTTCTTTGTGAAATTTATACAAATGGAAAAAAAAATGCTATTTTATTCTTCTGGAAAAAACAAATGTTATAAAAATTAAACAGAATAGTTTAAATATTACATCCTTTGTTCTAAACTTAATATTTAATTTAGCAATTTAAGTTTTTTTTAAATTTTGTTTTCATTTAGCAGCTTCTTTAAACTTGTGACTCACAGTGAACTGGTAACAAAAGTTTTAAAATCTTTTTTAGGTCAATGGTTTATCATACTAATTCATATTAATCTTTTAACCATAAACGCTAGATGTCATACTTTTATTATTTTCCATCAGTATTACTTTAAAGATTCATCTTGGATTGTGTAAGATTGCTAAGTACTGTCTGGTTTTGTTTTTTTCCCACCTCGCTTTTGTTTCCTGAATGTCTACAGCCATATATTATCGTATTTTCATGGAGACTCATACCAGCCTCACATGAAAGCCACATCAATTCCAAACGCTCCTTCCTGTGCTTCTGCAGCATTCTGTCCACAGACGACTGCTAAAGCACCCAGGGCCTCTCTCCATATGTGCACCCCCATCTCGTCAGCCGAAGTCCTCAACCTCAGCGAGCAGACAAGGCAGCGCAGACACTGGAGACCTGGACCAGCAATGTGCCGGCCAGCATAGACTTAGAAACCAAGTTAGTACTCACCAACTAATTCTCTAAATTTGGCTTTATTAGTGAATATTATCAATTTGATCAAAGCCAGACTAATGTTTCTGATAAAATAAAAACACATATGAACATATACTCGGCTGGGTCGGTTATGGGTGGGGGTGGGTCAGGCACTCCTTGCAACTTGCCCAGGTGAAGCTACTGCAGAGCAGGGCCACCCTGGAGATGTGGCCACACCCCTGGAGATCTCCTAGGGCACAACGCCCTGTCTGTGTGGGGGATGCTTCTATCTACAGGAAGGGCCAACAAACTTCTTCTCTAAGGGGCCAGGTCACAGTTATTTCATAGTTTACACTATGGCATACCGTCCCTCTTACCCACTGTAGTGCAAAAGAGACCACAAACAATAAGTAAATGAATATCATCTGCTATGCTCCAACTAAACAGCATTTCCAAAAACAAGAGGTGAGGGGTGTGACCAGGAGTGCTGGCTAACCCTGATCTAAAGGGATTTTGTTCACAGATGAAAAGGAGGAAATCACCACAGACGTCTGTTTCTACTTTTAACTAGTCGTCACATAGACACTAGATGTCCTAACTCTGTAACTCTTTAAATCCAGGGAAAGCCACACGTTTAAGGGAACATGAAGGCGGTTTCCAAAGTGTCCCCAGCAGAGTCTGGTACCTTTTGACAAAGGCTCTACCAGTGTGTTTCACGGCATCCCCATCCTCAAGAGAAGAAAATACACGGCGAAGGCAAAGGCAAAGCCGAAATGGTAGGCAAGTCTCCGCCCGGCCACATGCAGCGCTAAGAGCAGGCAAAGCAGGCGAGGGATTTACCTCGACAGGAAATCCGCAAAGGAAAGGCGCACGGGGTACCCGAACCTGAAGATCTTCACCAGCTCCAGGACGCCCAGGTACTGCAGCTGAGCCGACACGTAGAAGTGATCAAACACGTCTGGCAGCTGCGAGTTATTGGGTTTAATGCAGTGAACGACGTGCAGGGTGCAGCGCTGGAGCTTCCCGGTAATATCTGCCAGGGATTTCTACAGGAAAAGAAAGACCAGCTGACTCACCCAGAGAACCTGGCTGGAAACTCTGAGCGCTCTTGTTGGTTTTCGTACTTTTATTTTTTTATTTTGATATAGATTCTCTCGCTAAGTTGCTGAGGCTGGCCTTGACCTGTGATCCTCTTGCCTTAGCCTCCAGAGTTGCTAGGATTATAGGCATATGCCACTATATCCGGCTTTTATTTTTTGTTTTCTTAATACAAATCTCTATCTCCAATCTGACTCTATTGTATATCACATATTCACTTACTGTGTGTACGTGTGTGTGTGTGTGTGTGTGTGTATTTACTTTTCCCTGGAGGTATTCAAGTTTTCAGAAATGGAAAAGAATTCCATGTGACCCTGGTGTGGCTGACACAGACTCACGAGGCCCTTGGCATTTTCACTGACCCTGAGCTGTGACGCTGTGCTGGTGGGATCGCTGCGCTCCAGTCTTTGCCGAAATGTAGACGCTCCTTTCTTTTTTAATATCTGTAATGAGAAAAGAAAGAGGGAGGGGAAAGACAGGGAAAGGGTGAGCTTTGCTCAAATTTTAATTACTAAATTTCAGTTTAGAAGGAAAAAATAGAAACTAAGGTTTACATCCATGTAAATCCACAGGCAAAGGCATAAAACAGTTTATAAAAACCAGGACCAGACAATCTTTCCGTAATGCTCCTGTAACTTGATGAATGGCACCTGAAGGTCAAACAGAGCCCCAGCGGCTGCCCTTTCAAGGGCAAGGCTGTCAATCAGGCCCACCACCATCCACGCCCACCTTCATTTGAGAACACACATAGATCCCAATCACCTCCCTGCAGTGTTCTGGTCATTACATCAGTGGGGATGAAGGAGATTTCAGGTTATAAAGAGCAGATGCTTCCACAAGTGTTCGTGTGCTTTCTTAAATTTAAAATATAAGCAGCACTGCATGTGGGTATGGGCTGGACACTTGTGCTCCTTCCCTTCCTTTCCTCTTTCTCTCCTCCACCCTCTCTCTTAATAAAAGAGGTTAATAAGTTATTTGTGAAAAATGATAATAGATTGTTTTCTTCAATAAGTAATTACACACACGTTCTCAAAAGAAAAATAATCACATGTAGTGAAGATAATGGAGAAAAAAAACGATCAGTGGAAATGAGGCCAATGGACAAAGATAAAAAGGGCGGGAGGTAGATAGTCAGATTCCAGCAGGGGTTAAAAGAAACCTCGGCCACTAGTGCCCTGCCTCATCCACAGCACCATGCAGACCCAGACCAACACAGGGATTGATGGAAAGCCACTTCTCTCTAAACCACAAGAAGGACTCCTGATGCAGCGTCCTCTGAGCCTGGTGCTGCTGCAATGACAGTAGCTCCCTTCCTCCCGTTACATGACCTTGGAGCAGGAAGACTGACTGTAACCAACAAGGGAAGGCACTGTGCAGGGACTGGCCCCGCTTCAAGGTGCCTCCTACCAACGCAGTGCCCAGGCAACGCAGGTCAAAGCCTGTCCTCCTGGCTGCAGGGGCGGATTGATGGACAAGGGCATTAAAAAGGGGACGGCTAGGGAAGTGAGGGATGGAACACACAAGGCAGTCAGACAGACAAATCTCCATCCCTGAGCATGAGTGCTCAGGTTTCCGTTCTGTGTGGAGGAGCCACTGCAATCTCCTCCCCTCTGCAATCCTTCTCAGCCTCACGGTGCTTAATAATATCTATAACGGAGGACAGTTCAGCGGTGTGCAGGGATCACTTGCTCTTGATTTGCAGGAGGATGGAGAAAGGAAGAGCCAGAAGGTGCAGAAGAGCAGCGGGAATGAGGATGGTGCTTCTAAAGGACAACCCTTTGTCTTTTAATGTAAAAGATGCCATTTTGTATGCAGTGAGAGTGACTTCCTGTGCTCATCCTGCTCTGGACAAGTACATCAAAGGGTCGCTAATTTCTAGGCCCTGCTTGCTAAACACACTCACATTCCCCACCACTCTACTAAAAGAGTTGATTCAATTATGCCTTTATTTTAATTGGAAAACCAAGACACATTCCAGCAGGCTGCAACAACTGCATTTCTAAAATTGATTGTCCTGAATGCTTTCCCAACTCAACGCCTCCTCTTCTATTCTTTTGGTAGACACAAGCAAAATAACGTGAATGCAGTCTGGCGCTGTATTTGTAAGAAGCTGAACATGCTTCAAACTTTCCCTTATCAGTTTGAAATAACTCTTCACAGAGATTTTAGTTCTCTTCTAGAATTAGAACCTTTAGGTTATATGGACATTCAAATTTATGTGGAACAAATGTTGAAATTAGCTTAGCAAAAACTAAGGTAAAAATCTACAAATAAACAATAACAATATTTTAAGATCAAACATGCTGTATGTCTAAAAGAGAAGTAAATATTCATGGTTCAGAAACCCCAAACCTCAGAAATGATAAGGTAGGTAAGTATTTACCCTCAGAGCCTACTGCCCCCACTTCAGTCCCCATTCATCCAAAAGGAAGGCAGATGAAATGCAAATGGGATGTCACACAGACAACTGATTTGTCACCCCACTGCACTTTCCTGTAACGTCCCCTCTCTTGGACAGTTCTGGTGGGTATCCTTTCCTTTAATTCTTTCTATTAAAATATAAGTTTCTTTACATGATTGTACAAAATTATGATTTTTTTTAAACAAAGAAAATATCCAAGCAACCTAGAAGCAAATAAACAAGAATCACAGAGGTGCCTACCGTGCTAAGCTCGAGATAATTCTTGTTCTCTCCAACAATTGAGGAAGCTGTCGTTTTCTTATGGAGCAGGGCAGATTTATGTCCTCGGAATTTAAAGGAAGGATATGAAGATAGGAGGGATCCCGTTGGTGACAATTTTGACTGGAACAAATGATTGATCACGACATTTTCACTAGCTAGGAAATAAGTAAATGGACGTTGTTAAGTGCTGTTAAAATCATTATTTACTTGAATGTTAAATTTATTCCTCATAAAAGTACTTTAACCACTAAAGCATTCTGTGCTGAGATGTAAAAGGTGCTACAGGTCTGCCCCCTCCCCGCCATCGTCCTGTCTCATTCCCTGACCCTAGCTGCCCTGGGCCAGGTGTTCTGACCCCTCGTTCTCCACCTGAGCTCCCGGCCCTTGGCTCTCTGCCTGGCACTGCCTCCTGGTTATGGGCACTGTCCAGCTCAGTCCTGAGGGGCTTTGGTGCAGGTGACCAACTCATGAAGACATCTGGTTCTGGTCAGTAACACCCCATCCCACTCCAGGAAAGCAGTACCTTGGGTAGTAGACCATTTCAGACCCTCACCTGGCTGCACCTGTTTTAGGTTAAAGAAGGGGAGAGAGAACCCCTTTTGCTGAATTCAGTCAAGATGCCAGGGTCAAAGTGAACTGATACATTTTAGACACTATGAAATTCTAGGTCCACGTTCCCATCTGGACATCTCAGGGAGAAGAGGAGGTGGAACGAGTGGAGTCTGGATCACACGTTTCAACAGCAATTTGAAAACAATGTGGATGGCTGGTAAAGACAAGAGGGAGAACTCTTGGGGTTGGTTTTCTGTATGTAGACAGCTTTTGGAGCCTAAGTTTCCCTCTTTATCAAAGGATGATGACAGTACCTTGGCGGTTATTGCAAGGCTTGAAATGTGAAATAACATGCATCAATCACTTAAGATCATGCTCAGCCCATCGGGCAGGGAGCAGCGTGTAACAGTGAAGTAGTTTAGTTGCTACCTTTCCCACACTCAGGGGTTCTGCTTGCCCAGGTACAAAATAAGGCAGATAGAATCTAAATCTGCATCGCCTTCAGTGAAAAGTCACATTAATAAACAAGCAGGGAAACGGGAGAGCGGTCAAAGAAGGAGGACGTAATACAGAGGCAGGAGTGGGAAGGGACCCTGTGGTGTTGGCTTCAAATTATGGGAGAAAGCCACTGTTTTTAATACACAGCTGCATATCTAAATATTATCTATGTCTGTCTCTTAAATGTTGAGGTCTGAAAATACCTAAAATCAAAGACACTACAGAAGCAGTGAGCTCACCCAGGCCCCAGACCACAGTGTTCCTCAATTCCAGACTTCCCAAAGACCAATTAGGCTGGTTCTAGATCTGACACTGTCTTGGAAGACCAGTTATGAGGGAACACTAAAAAAGTCACGGGAACTTGTCAAAAGGACACAGGAGCTGGCCTAAAGGTGTTCTAACAGGCCACGCCTTGGAGAATTTTAGCATCAAAATAATGATGTAGTGGTATATGGCTCACTGAATAAAATAAGAACACCTGAGTCCACCCGGTCATATAAGCAAAGGAGCCAGTGAAGTAGGAGACATGGAGTGTCATAGCAGAAGGCCACTGTTGGTGGGGGGACGGCGTTCTGCAACTGTAAGAGGAATAACTGATTCAAGCAAGCATGACAGATGCCTGCAAATCCAGCTGGGAGAGCTTGATGGAACAGAACATTCGCACGGTCTCCAAGTGCTTCCTCCCAGGTTACTCATCAATGCCAAAGAGGAACCAGCAACTCTGGAAACCGAGAGGCTGGCAGACACTACCGTATCAAAGCAGTCGCGAGTCACAGCTTCAGGGACATTTATGGTGGTCACTGCCTCTGGTGCACTGAGGATGCATATGCCACCTCTGGGGGGTTCCTGGCAAAAATGCTCAGCTTGATTCTGATATAAGTAAAATTCAAATATCCCCAAATTGAGGAACACTGCATGAAATAACTGATATTTAATTTTTGAAAACAATGTCATGGAAAACTATGGAAATGTCCAAGATCAAAGATTGAAGTGAAATGACCCTGAACTGTGGGAAATCGCTATAAAAGACATTAATGGGACAATTGCCAATGCTTTATATGAGCTCTGGATTAGATGTCAGCATTGTATCAATGATCAATATTCTGATAATTTACTGAGTTCAAGTAAGACAATGTCCTCATTTTGGAATGTGCATTGACATGTAGACATTAGCAGATGAGTGACTTGTTCTCAAGTGGTTCAGAAAATACACACATGGAGGAGGAAGGGGGGGAGGGAGATGGAGGAAGGGAAGGAAAGAAGGCCCCAAACACCCTGATCTGAGGAAACTGGGAGTTCTCCGTACTAACTTTATAACTTGTCTTTATTGAAACCACTTCAAAATAAACAAACAACAAGTACATACCATGACCCTCGCCCTCGTAAACAATAACAAAGCAATTGTTATTCATCTGTATAGCAAGTCTAAATGTGTGTGGGACCACACAAATAATGCAACACATTATCTTCCAACTGAGGGATAACAGCCTTAAATAAAACTGAAAACACCAGTCATAAACATGGACCACACTGTTTGCCTGATCCCCTTTTATTTTATGTATAATCTATGTATATTGATAGGTAGATATAATATACCACCATGAAATACAAAAAAAAAAAAAAGCATTGTGCCAACTTCTAAAACATGCTATATATTAGATCTTCGCTAAAAGACAAGACCCAAAGGAAAGGGCATTAAAAATAAAAGTGCAGGTAACTGCATACTAGGAGCAAGGCATTTCCAGTGATAACGGGTCAGATCAATTACCGCGATTCCTCCTCGATCATGATATCCTCCCAGTCCATGCTTCAACACTGGTCTCTGCTAAGACAACTCCCAATGAGCGCATGTTCTGGGAGGCCAGCAGAGTGACCCCTTCCCCGGGAAGACTCTGAAACAACCATGCTGCTGCAACCTGAGGCAGATGTGTCCTGAGACCAGAAGTGACGTGGACGTCTGATCTCCAGCTCAGAGGCACCTAAGTACTTCATGAAAGGCATCATAGGCTTCCTGTCCCAGGAGAGACAGATGCTCTGTTGCTTCCAGAGCACCTTAAAGCACAAAAGAAGCTGAGCTTACATTCACTAAAGGGGTCATTAGAAAAATGTGAATCACTGCAGAAATGCCACTAAGAAAATAACTACTAGAGGAGACAGAATCATATATAGACACATACATATACAATTGGAATATATATGAATTTAATACATTGTTTTATATATAGTATAGAATCATAGTCAATATATATGTAGAGTATTAATGCCCACTAAGTAGAAGGAACTGATAAATCAATCAATCTATCTATCTATCTATCTCTCTCTCTCTCTCTCTCTATATATATATATATATCTGTAAATACATGTATACACATATACACATAAGCACAGATTTATAAACATACTGGCTCCTTCTACTTAGTGGCATTAATACTCTATAACTGGATGTGCATAAGAATAAAAGACCATCCCTGGTTGTGCTTCACGGTATCTTAAGTAATGAATTCACCCTACTGTGGCCTAAATAACTTTGGACGCCATATTCATCTTCATTAGTCTTCACAGAATAGCTTTTTTATATTCATACCACTGAAGTAGTAAAGGTGTTTTACATTCCTATCTGCTAAAAGCTTAGTTAAATTATGGTTTCTACTGGACTCCAAATTAAATTGTAACCAATGCACAGTATGGCAAGACACATTCCTTATTATTCTGGGCATTACAATGCAAAAGATATTTCAATTATCCTTTTGCTGGTAGCATATTTTGTAGGAAAAAAAATTCAAGAAATAAGGAATGCATGGCATTTTAACCAGTGTAGGGAGAAATCAACTTACTTTTCATTACAAATAGAAGATTCTGTGAAAGGGAGTCTTTATTTTTTTCAATTGCTCCAACAATTTCATACATTACCTATAATAAGAGAAAATAGCATAATTACTAAGGATTAATCATGACCATGAAAATAAATTCCTTTAAAGAATAATTCAATTCAGCTGAAATTTTAAATTATTCATGAAAGAAGTGTCTTCAGGTCTGAGAGCTCACACTGCATGCAAGTTCAAAGCTATCGCCTGCATGTTCTCATTCTGTACTTAAAGAGCGGACACTGCTCCTCTGCTGTTTCGCAAGGCTCTCTTCTGATCCTGAGTTTAAGGGCAAAGGCTGATGACTCACACCCTGAAGCCCCTTTATTCTTAAGGATTGCAACTCAAAAATCAGCTAACCAAGTACAGGCTCCTGACACTGAGCCTGTGTAGTGATGGCAGTCTGAGATGGCCTGTGGTCTCCTTATTAAGGGCTGCTTGCTGTTAGATCATTTAACAGCCAGTTCATCGGATGTCTTTTGAATGAAGAAAACATGAGAAACAATTATCGAAGAACACATTTGGGTGACTTAATTGTCTGGTTTTATTGGTATCCAGTATGGCTGGGAGACCTGATCTTTAGAGAGACAGTTTTACTGCATCTGTCTGAGCTAAGTATGAGCTCCCAGAGGGGTCATGAGAAGCCATTCAGCCACACCTCCATCAGGAAGCCTGTCCATTTCAATATCAGCTCCTTTCAGAAGCATCCCGTGGCACAGAACCCTGGGCAGGGTGCCAGAGGCTGTCCTTTGTCTCTTCCTACCATCACCCCTGGTAGAAATCAAGAGGGAGAAACAGTGGCTAGACCTGCCACTCTGGGGATTCCCAGGGAGGACAGGGTCTGGGACAGGAGGGGATTGACAGACACAGAGAGGCCATGAGTCCACTTGGTCTGTGGGAGGAAACCTAGAGAAGGCCACCCCATCCCTGGTGGTCCATGTCCCTACGTGGCCTTGAGTCCCAGGGCTCACGTGTCCTCCTTCAGTAAAGCTCTGTGTGGATTCCTTGATGTCACGGGAGCCTGAGCCACAGGAATCTCCAGGTCTCCTGTTAAAAGCGAAGTGCAAAGCTCCCCTGTTGTTCCCAACAAGGGCACGGACGTCCACAGACAGCATCCAGATATATACCGGGCACACAGCTTTTATTTATTTATTCATATTATATATTTATTTATATTATTTACATTTATTTATTCATGTAAATGTATTTTATTGGTAGGGCATTTGCATATAATTAATGAACCACAAAGCAGGTCAACTAAATCACTTTTGTGATACTGGGCAAACTCTAGCGGCTCCTGCAATCCTTCCGGTGTTAAATCGTATTCCCTAGGGCCCTCCAACTCTAAAAGCCTCTGACCTTATTCATAAGATACAAATGGACACATATTGACAGGCTGGGTTGACAGCCCACTGTAGATATGGGCTGTAGACACTACCAAAACAGCTTACTTATTTTATCGTAATTACCCCTGTAATCAAATGACTGATGACACAGTACATAAAATCGGCTTTAGTGGATTATTGACATGTGGTTTTAAATATTTATTTTTGGCCCCAAATTTGAAATCAAGTATTGCTTCAAGGAATTTTTCATACTGTCATGGAGAGATAGCACTCAAGATCATCACCACCCTGGGTGTACCATAGCACCTTGCCACTGGATCACTGGTGCTTCTAGGGTCTTAGTGGACAGAGCTGAGAAATACAGAACACATACCTCAATACAGAACACGTACCGTGCACGGGCAGGCAGGTGCACACGCACTTTTCATTATAGTCAAAGGTAAAATGTCACTGAATTCCATATTTGGTCTTTTAGCCATGATAATTTCTTCAATCTAAAGAAGTTTGGTGTTGGCTTTGTCAAAGGCAATTTAAAAATCTCTAGATAGGGAATAGGGGTGGGAGGGAAAGGGAGGGAGAAGGGGAATAGCATGGATGGTGAAAGGAGACCCTCATCATTATATAAAATACATGTATGAAGATGTGAATTTGGTGTCAACATACCTCATATACAATCAGAGATATGATAAATTGTGGTATAAAGGTGTATTAAGAATCGTAATGCAAAAATAAATAAATAAATAAAGGGAAAGGTCCTTTTTACTTTAAAAAAATCTAAATATATGGTACCCCTTCATGCTCATTTATTATATACATAAATAATGTGTTCCCATCACCTTTAAATATTTTGAATTAGCATTTTAATTTAAATATAATTTTTAATTATGATATTTCATTGGTTCTTTTTTTGGTTATACATGAGAATAGAATTGATAATAAAAGTAATTATGATAATTATAAAATAATTATAAAAGTATAGGATATAACTTGTTCTAATTCAGTCCCCAGTACTTCCCCTTCCCCTCCATTACTCTTCCCTGTTCTCTTCTCTCTACTGACCCTTTCTCCTATTTACTTATAGACATTTTGTCTTTAAAATCAGTGTCTTGGGGATGTACATGATGGTGAAACTCACTGTGGTATATTCGACATGTACATAGAAAAGGTAAGTGAGGTCCACTCCACTCTCTCTCCTTATCCCGTCCTTCCACCCTTCCTCCATTCCCCTTGTTCACTACACTGGAGAGATAATTTTAGATTTACATGAAGTTGCAAAAAACAATACAGACAGATCATGAGTACCCTTCTCCAGTTTCCTACAAGGATAGCATTTTACAACTAATCATAATGGAGATATTGATTAGGATGGTGAAAACAGAGAACACAACATCAGCACATTGGTCCTGTGTGTTGCCAATTTTGCTCACCTCCCAGAAATCGCCATCTATTTGTGGGGCTCTACTTCTGGGCTCTTTATTCTGCTTTGCTGATCTGTGTGTCTGGCCTTTGGACACTGTCTTGGTCACTGAAGCTTTAAACCACAATGTCGAGTCCCACAGGCTGATTCCGCCCACTTTACTTATAAAACTGGCCTCAGCTACTTTAGCTTCTTCTCCTTTTCATATGACTTTTAGAATTATATTACATTTTCTTTTACATCTACAAAAATTTTGCTGTGATTTGGTTAGAAATAGCATTGGATCTGAATGCCAATTCTGGGAGACTTGGCTGTGTTCATTATGACCAAGTGGATGAGTTACTCTGTTGTTTTTTAATCTAAGAACATATCATGTCTCTCCTTTTAATTAGACTATGATTTCATTCATCAGCATTTTGTGGTTTTCAGCATAACATTCTCTACATAATTTGTTAGATTTATACCCAAGTATTGCGCCGTTGATGAGTGACTGTAAATGTTATTGCATTTTTAATTTCAGTGCCCATTACTAGTATATAGACAAGCAATGGAATTTTTATGTTCATCTTGTATCTTTTGACTCTGCGATACTCACTTATTACTTCTTTGGTTTTTATTTTTTTTAATCTTGGTAGATTCCTTGGGATTTTGCACACTGAAATTTATGTCTTAAATAAACATAAATTTCTTACTTCTTCCTTTCCAATCTGTCCACTTTTGATTTCCTTTCCTGCCTCATGACACTTTGCTAGAACATAGCAAACATCCTTGCCTTGTTTCCAATCTTGGGCTCAAACATTGTTTTCAACCATTAAAACAAAGCCAGCAGTAGATTATTACAGATGCTCTTTATCAGGTGGAGGCTGTCCCTACTATTTCTATTTTTCTTAGAGTTTTCCTCATGAATGGTTATTGAATTTTATCGAAACTTTTTTTTTTTATTCCTTGATGTGATGCTGTGATGTTTTTCTTCTTCAGCTTGTTAATGTGATGGATTACTTGATTGATTTCCAAACATCAGATTGGCTTTGCACTCCTGGGTAAAAATGCCCATTGGCCACGGTGGACAGTTCTTTTCATATATTCCTGAATTGTAGTTGCTGATATTTTAGCAGTGTTTTGCATTTATAATCATGAGTGATATTTATCTTTAGTTTTCTTGTGTGTACGCGTGTGCCTGTTAAAGCCTTTGCCTGGTTTGGGTATCAGGATAATACCAGCTTGATAAAACAAACTGGGAAGTGTTCTCTCTCTTATTTTCCGGACAAGTTTGTACAAAGTTGGTGTTAATTTTCCTTCAAACATTTGGTAGAATTCTCCAGTGAAACCATCTGGAACAGGGAGATTTCTTTTTTTGGGAGATTTTAAATTACAGATTCATTTTCTTGATAGGCCTACTCAAATTATCTATTTTATATTGGGTGAACTGAGGTAGTGTATGTTTTCGGAGGAACAGGTCCATTTCATGAAAGGGTCAAATTCACGATGGGGTTATTGGTCGTGTTCTCTTTTGATCTTGGATGTATGCGAGGCACGTAGGTATGTTTCCTGTTTCATTCCTGGCTACCTGCGTTTTCTCTCTCTTTTTTCTTTGTCAGTCCTGCTAGAGGTTTATCGTTTTTACTGGTGCTTCCAAAGGCCAGCTCTGTTGGGAAGAGTCTCGCCTCTCCCCGATTCTACTGGATTCTGCTGGCACCACCTTCCACGGCTTGCTTTGGTTGACTTTGTTCCCTAGTTCTTGGGACAGAAGCTCACATGATGGATTTCAAACTTGCCCTATTTTCTAATATGTGGATTTAGGGCTATCAATTTCCCTTTTCGACTTGTTTTAACTCACAAATTTACTAGGTTGCATTTTCATTTTCATTCCGTTGAACATACATTTTTAAAATCCTCTCAGCTTTCCTCTTTAATGCGTGGGTTATATAACGGGGTACTGCCCGTTTCCAAGCCTTTGTTGATTTTTAGTTTAGTCCCACTGTTTTAGTCAGCTTTTTCTCTGCTGTGACTAACGGATCTGACCAGTACAGCTGCACAGGAGGAAGAGTTCATCTGAGGGCTCACAGTTTCAGGGGTCTTAGTCCATAAAAGGCCGGCTCCATTCCTGGGGCTCGAGGTGAGGCTGAACATCATGGTGGGAGAGGGTGGCGAAGGAAAGCAGCTCGCATCGTGGTGATCAAGAAGCAGAGAGACTCCATCTCCAGATACGAAATATACGCCCCATAGCCATGCCCCCAAGTAACCCCTCCCTCCAGCCACACCCACCTGCCTCTAGCCACCACT